GCACGCTTCTTTCCACTCCCCCGCTCGGTATTTCGGTCAAGTATCGCCATTATGCTTCAAAACATTTTTCGCGTTAAGCGTCGTCTTTTTCCAAAGCCTGTGCCAGCGCGGCGCGGCGACAGAGTAGGATACAGTGACTTCGACGACCGAGAGGGATTTCTACGATCCTCGTCGTTCGTCCACGCAACCCTCTTGAAAACATACCTAAGCGTGCATATGCCAATACGACCGACTGCGTGCAACGAGTAAATGGAAATTTTAAGTGCTCCCGTCGACTGAAACGTACGCCGCTTGTCGATGCATCCTGCACGACCGTCCATAAATGCATCGCCGCGCCGTGCCGCGCCGTCTTCCTTCACACGCGGCGCCTTCGTGTATGTGTTAATGGCGGCAACCGCGAGCAGTCTTTCCACCCTGTACACCAGGTAACTAAACGCTATCGAATCTCGTCGGGAACTTGCGCTATTACCGTGCGAGGAACGACACTGTCGGAGTTTAGTTCGGCGAACGATAAAGTGGTCTCGGCAGTCGAGCCTGTCTCGGTAGCTAAATATTATTGCCAGCTCGTGAATGGTAGTTCAATTACGTCGAATTGATGACTCGTGTATTTTAACGGCGATAGCGCTGTATAATATCGAAAATTTGTGCGCGCGGCGAATGGAGGAGACGGGAGGAGGGTTGGAAGAAGCGAAACGACTGCCATTTTCGCGCGATACGATCGCCACAAGATACAAGATAAGGAACGATGCAATGAAAATCGGTCTCATTTCGTGTGAAACCAATTACGTGAGAAAATGGTACGTTCTGTGTTCGTTTGCATTTTCGTGGCGTTCGTGGAACAAAACGGGCGGAGGATAACGCGTGGCGAGAACCCCAAAAACGAAATCGAGAAGGTCCCCTGTCGCAATCCCTTTATGCAAATTTCACTGCCAACCATCTGACGCCCCCTAGCGCGACGAGACAAATTTTCGCGACGTCGCTACTTTATGGACCCTTAAATACGCGACGAACATGAAACCGTTCGACGCATTACTGCGCGACTCGACGAATGTTTGTTTCTAATGGAATCTGGGAGAGGAGTACAGCTATTATCTTGGCAATTAAGAACAAGATCTGTGATAAATAAATTTAAATGAACCGAGCGAAGAACATTGAGTATTCTATAACCAGAATTCGAAATTGATATCAATTAGTTATCAAAGTGAACTGTAATTGGGATTAAGTGAGTATTCAACAATAGTAAAAATTACAAAGATTGCGAAAGACAGTACAGACACGTTGAATTTTAATTGGAGGAAAAAATTCATTCGATGTTCATTTCACTGGAATACTTTCAATCCGGAATTCTTACGTTTTGCGCAATAACCTTCTATCTAATTATCTCTAGCGATATCAAAGTTACGAATCTTCAAAGTACAACTTTTAAATTGCTTGGTATAATCGAATCCAGGAGAGAAATAATCTTGTAAGAGAAATATGAAGGATTTTTCTTGTAAAAAGATTGCTCGAATAATTCTACGCTAAATTCTCATGCCTTTCGTAAATCAAATAAAGTGCAAGACAAGTAAAATACTTTCTGAAATGTTTGCAAAATTACAATAATAATATTTTAATTTTTCAGAAGTACTTTAATTATTCAGTCGTATAGCAGTTAAATTGTCTCTTTTACGTTCATTTTATAAAAATAATTCGTGCTGATTAAGAAAAGCACCAGCCTCTGTGAAAATGTCCAGACAGAAGCTTAATATTGCGAAATACTTTTGCATTTATGTCGTATATTTAAAATGTTTTTCTCTTTGCTTCGAAAAGTTTTTCTAAAACTAACTTCAAGAAACTTTGTAATAAATGTCGTCAATATTCGCAAAATCACGCGTTTTCCGCAGCAAACGCAGAGGGAATTGGAAGAAGGCAACGACTAGCTGGTTTTATTACGCAAAACTGAGAAAAAATACAAAATAAATCTCTGTTGGTGTACGTGGCTGTGCATTCGTCGCTCAGAAGAGTATGGAAAATGCAACGTAACATTTTTATCTGGAATTTTTCAATCTCGCGACTCGTTTGCCGTCTAGGTACAACTCACGATAGCAGAAAATGAATGTCGCAACGGGTAAGTGTATTCCTATGTAGTAAAGACGATAGTGTAAGTCACTCGACATCACGTACGTCACCGAAGAATTCTAACTTTCCGCTATCTGGAATCTTCAAATTTCTCATATTTTCGCTATTACGAATCCAATGGAGCTGTAGATTTGTGCGCGTATCCTTATATGTATGTAAATCATCGATAAAAAGACTAGAGAGAAAAAAAGTTGGCCGACGTTTCCTATATCGTGCTCCTGTACTCATCCGTAGAAAACTATCTCGATTCTTATATCTCCTCGACTTATTCGCGTATATGTATCGCGAAAAGAAGTTCTTTTGCAGAACGTATCAAATTCACGAAATGGATTATTAAACACGGGCAATCAGTCTGCTCGAAACAATACGAAATAATCGTTTATCATATCACATGAATTTTCATTCACCGAAATGCGCAAAACGTTGTCAACGTCATTTAACAGTTAGACTTGTACCGATTGCAATAAAACGCGCAATTTAATTTGATAAACTGTGACGCGGATTAAATGGCGTAGAACAGAATGAAACAATGCATTGGCATCGTCCGTGAAATCAAACAGAATGAATTTTACACATTGTAGAACATTCACGGACATTTCAGTAAAAACTTATTTCAACAACGGCCGCAACACAGAGCTCTTCTAAGGCTGAAAGTGTCGTGCCAGAACGAACTCGCATCCGGTTTTTACTCGTTTAAAGAAAACAGAAAAGATCGGTTCGTGCTTGAGCAGCAAGGGAAACATTTGACCAGCCCTAATCACCAGATCACGTGCCAGGAGGTCGCGAGTCATGAAACGCGATAAGAACGTTGTTGGGAAGTGTTTCGCGACCTTAACGTGATCGTCCGATCGACAAGAGGTGGTTGACGATTCTGCCTGTTCGTGGAAATAAGTACAGAGAACGCGCGTGACCGAGCAATAAAACGAAATCGAGGAACAGCAAATGGAAGACGAAGGGAAACAGGCGAGAGAACAAAAAACCGTGAAATTTCATTGATTTCCATCTACGAGAGCGTTAGGTCGAAGGGAGGACGAAGGAATTCGACAAACAAACAGAAGGCAGTCTGTCCTACAACGACGCGGAATTTAAATGAAGAGAAGTGAAATGGGATTGGCGGGGATCAAACTTCACCGGAGGGTACATATATGAAAATTAAGAGACGGGAGTGAAAATCGGTTCGATGGAACGACGCCTCCAATATTTCGCGAATTATCAATTAACAAAGGCGCCGACGAGAACGAAGGATAAAGGGACAATAAAAGAATGAAAAATGCACTTTGGTCACTGACACTCGTGCGAAGGCCGACTATTTTTAATTCTCTTTATCATCCTCGCCGTGAACCACGTAATGATGGGTATTAACCAATTAGCGCCCACTCTCGTACGTTCTTTTTTTTTACTCTCTCTCTCTCTCTCTCTCTCTTTCTCTCCTCTAGTTGCGGTTCCAGATACTGGAACACCCGTTCCAAATGGGCCCGTGGAAAGATGCAACACCGCCGTTTCGGTGTCCGCCTATTTTCAGCACCATGTGCCACCAAGCTCCGGCAGCTAGCCGCGGTTTGGCAAAGCTTTGAACTCGCCAAAGCGAATATTATTTCTGCGGCGAGGCGAGTCTTTGGGACGGGACATGGTCGGAAGAGGGTACGACACGCTTAACGAAACGCGACTCGTGTTATGAATTTTCAGGCGAAATGAAAAATTCGTGGACGACTCGAGCGCGGCGCGGTCTCCTTGCGTTAACGTTATTTACGATTCCATTTAAAAGGAGCATGAAAATCGAGACTAGCAAAATTAATGAATACGTAAACGAATGAACGGTTTACATATTTTTCGCGAGATGATGTTAGATTTGAATTTCAACGAGGTTGATTGAATGTATCACTTAAGACTTGAGATCAAGCATAGTATTTTTTGTAATACTCTTTTTTGTGTTTGTTACCAATTTTTCAAATGTACGTATGTTATAACACTGTTCTAAAATGTTGTACATCGTTCATGACATCGTTACATGACAATTTTTATCTGTATTATTTCCGAGAATATAACAAGAAATGATTCTTATTGTGTATTTTATAAGGTAAAATGACTGTAGGTAAGATGGCTACAAAATACAAAGATATTGGCATAAAGAAAATTTAAATATTGGCGGGAATAAATTATAATCCCGGAGTCGTATTTTACAATATCGAAAGAACGTTTTCCAATATTGGTAATAGCGAAAATTATTTATGCGCGTAACGTTGACAGAGATATTAGAAGCTTGGAAAATATCGCGACAGGAACGAACGTCTCTTCTATATTCAATTCGAATCAACAATTTTTGGACGGAAAGATATTGCCACTGAAATTGAAATCCAATTTCGTATCCTCCATGAAATACCGTGGCATAAATCCGACGGTTATATCGTATTTCGATTAAAAACTATCTTTCAGAGCGAGTAAAAATACGAGCAAATTTTCAAAAAAGAATTGAAAAACAAAACGCTCGAGCATGCAAATATTTCGCGTTTTGAATTCGCTCTGAAACGCGCTCATAAATTTCCCACCGTGCGATATATCGTAAAATATCGAAGTAATGCAAGCTTATCAAAATGGCGTCTCATTTCGTACAACATGCACTTTCCGTGTCGCGAGGTTTTAAATGAAAAAGCAGCATGGAAAACGCGAGCCGTTTATCGCGCGATTGCAATTAAAACGATACATCGATTCGCGTGCGGTCGTTAGTACTCTGGAGAGAGATTCGTTCGATAAATACAAGAATCGTTTGAAACCGTATCGAAGCTCGGCTCGTGCATGCATGATGCCTATTCGTAAGTCGCCGCGGCAGAGTGACACCGATGGATAAATATAGTGCAGATGGATAGTTATAGTGCATCACTTACCGGGTAAACGCGTGAAGTTTGTCTCGTTGCTGCTCGAGGTAGTCGCGTACACTCCAGAAAAGTAGGCACACACACGAAGTGAGAGAGCACCGCGAAGACGAAACCGTGGTGGTATAGATGACGGAATGGAGTCACCGACCGTTGTCCCAAACAAAAGTTGTGTTAGGCTAGGTCGTGTCAACGCCAGATTACGCCGAAGACGATCTATCTCCCGCACACCCCATACTCCAGTGAGTACGATCGTAGTTCGAGCTACGCGTCGCGTCGCGTCGACAATAAATACGCGTGCTATTCACTGTGTCCGCGCTCCGACTGGGAACAGAACCGAACGTTCAATGGCGTTCAATATTCTTTCGAATGATTGTCGAATTCGGGAGCACGAGGGAAAGGACAAATCTAGTTTACCAGTGGGAACGCGCGAGCACGAGTCTACCCAAAATCGGACCGCTGGCCGGCGATTCAAAATGGAGCACTCGGTGAGTATGTTGACAGTTCGTATCATTGAAGTTGTTGACACCTCGTATGCGACTATACTCGTATGTGACCACACTCGTATATGACCAATTTCATTTGTCCAATTACTTGAAATTTACTGGTCTAAACTACGTTACGCGTGAATCCAGAGAATGTACACCAGCACAAACGTACGACCGAAATTCGCGGTCGGTGTGAGAATTTGAAACGTTGACGTTATAACGGGCAACAGTGGTACCAATGTATAAAATTCAAAAGATGCTACGTTGCGCACTTACGAACTACCTTTGCTCCGTTACCGACTGGTTAAAAGTAGGTAAATAAGGAATGCGAAAAATTATCTAAGAATTGTGTCGCTTGGTATGGAACTCGAATGATCTCGTATTATTTTTACCTTGAAGGCTCGGTTGTTTGTTAATTGTTCGTTATTAACGCGTGTCCCAGTCAGGCACGAATCGAAACGAAAAGAAAAAGGAACGTAGGGAAAGGACAACGTGGTACGACTCGCGTGGTACAATCGCTCCCCTAAGTACGCACACACGCATACACCGAAAGGAGAAACTACCGAGAGAGGGCGACACAACACCCTCACCGATGCGCGGTTCGAGTGCGACTGAGCGAGTCAAGGCAAGCTCGCCGAGTCGAAAGCCACAAGCCGCGTCAGCCGACCGGCGGCGACGGACCAATCAGGATTGTCCTCTGCGCAACTACCCGACACCCAAGAATTGACCACATGCTCGCTCGTTCACCCTTTCCTTCGTCTTTTTCGAAATATATTTTCCCCTCTACCTTTTTTGATAATATATCAAAATCGCCACGACCTCCTTTCTGCCCGCCGATCCCATTTATCGGGTGACGGATTTGCAGGACGAACGCATTCATATTGTTTCTGATACACGACGTTCCCCTGATACATTTCTGTCGCGATTTCTGATCTATTGTAAAAAATACGTGAGCGTGTTGTGTTAAAGTTTCAATAAGGATACGAATGTAGGAGAAACGTTATTAATAAATATCTAAATTTTTCAAGTTAATATGATTTACTCCAAAAATTTGAAAATTTCATGCTCTCCCTGTGTTGCTCGATTTAATTTAAATACGAAAATTACATTGCTTCACCCATCTATTTTTGACGTACACCGAAGCATTTGATCACAAATCAAAAAAAGACGACGTATCAAGTTAATTGCCGCAATCTAACATCTTCCACGTCTATAATTTAACCATCTGATTTCTTCTACGTTCGTTTTTTACTTTGTATCACGGTTGGTAAACGTACTGCCGCTATGAGCGGCAGACATTGATGGATTCCTACAATTTTGTTCCGCGAACGATTGGAATCGCGAGATTTTCTCGTTAAGTTCCTCGATGCCTGAACGTCGCACAGAACTGTTCTTATGTTGGTCTTGCAACCACTTTCTGGTCGAGTTCTTCAAGTCTATTGAACAAGAAAGAGAACGTAGTTCAACCGAACGATTCTCCGGAGGATTAAAATTAATGGTTGCCTGACTGTTAGTTTTCGAGCGCGTATTATCACCCTGTGAAGGGATACGCGGGGCAAGAGTGATTAAACGCGTGGAGAAGAGCCAGAGAGAATAGCACAGAGACACGCTATTCTCATTCCACGTGACAATTGTAATTGTCGTTACAGAATCGTTTACGTTTGCACGTTACATACCTCCGTTTTATTGGGGTTGATCGTTATTAGAGTCGTTTCGATTTCGCGTTTCGCAATCAACAAAATTCAATTACCATTTTTTCCGTTTCTTTGTTCTCCACTGAGCCAACAGCCATGCGTTTCATTCTTTCTTTTGCTTTTTTTTTTCTCTCTTTCTTTTAGCCGCTCACATGAAACAGCCAATAATCCATTTGGTGTATCTTCTCTAATAAACGATCGGTTTGATATCTTAAACCGGCATGACGCGTTGTTTATCGCTTTTCGTCCGGGTTTTTTCAGAAAATGTTTTACGCGGAAATCTAATATTGTTCTTATCCGCATGTCGAGGAGGAACGGGAAGCGATTCTACGGAAATCGTAGCGTCGAGAGAAAATCCTCTCGTTGGCTTGAGCAACACGTGTGCCTGCAGATTCCATTTTATATTCTGTTTTAATAATGTAATCAGGAAACTCGTGATACCAAACGATCGAATACTCCACGCGTGAGCCGACACTCGATACTCGTAAAAGTGTAATTAATAATGACACTCAATTGTTCGAATGGAATATTTAACATTCGAATATTTTTTCATTGTGTAACTTTAAATCTTTAAATTTTTCTCAATTGTATCTAGAATTGACGAGGTGTCTCGTAACTAGGTGATAGGAGATGATTCTACGTGAAAAAATGAGTCGAAAAGAAATAACAAAATTTTTTCAAAGACGATTTATCAGAAAGAAAATTCTAGACGTAATAGAAAAGAATAAATAACAGGATATGTACGAAAATATGTAAGAAATGTAGAATAAAATGTTTTTCTAAAATGCAATTTTGAACGAAAATTTTATTCTTCTACATTTTTCACTTACCTTTGCACATAAAATATCCTTGTGTCGATTATTCACGCCTGTCCACTACGGAATTAGATAAATTTGATAAATTTTCTATTCGTTTTTTCACGTAGAATTATCTTTTACTCGGTTGTACCACCTCGATCGTCCTGTATTACTATAATGAGAAGTCTATTTAATTCTCGTTGGTAAATTGGATGATATTGTAGACTGTCGTAATAGGATATAATCAAAGACCTCAGTTTAATTAATCTTCTATCTCACTGTTTCTCTACCCATTTTGAAATGTTCAGAAGTACGTATAGTAAAAGAGCTCTTGAAATAGCTCTTCAATTTCGACATGGATGTATAATACTTTATATCAATTCGATGTTTTTTTTTTTTTTGCGTATATGTAACATCATTATCCAGGATTTTTCTTTTGAAACAAAGAATACATCGGCGGAGTATTTGTTTCGCGTTTCTTAAATAATCAATAAAAACCGATATTACACAATAATTACATCGACGTGTTTTCTGATTGAACGGCTGTCCGTGTCTGTCAAAAGTCCGTGTATCAGCTTTGTCGGACTAAAAAACAAACTGAAATAAATGGGTCATGTACACGTGACAGCGGTTACAATCGAGCGAAGTAGCAGACGAGCCGGGAAAACGATAAATGCATTGCAAAGTATACAAATATCTGAACTGGATATTCCTGTTCTACGTAACGCGAGATACAAAGCTGCATACGAGCAGGAATATCGAGGCTGAGAAGGAATCGACAGTACTGTAAATACGAAAGCAGAACGGCACGTTGATTAGCTGCTCGGTTGTGCATCGTTTCAGATAGCTCACGCTCGAATTAAATCCAACGTGTGCGGCTGAATCGACAGCCACAATTAAGTACGATACCTTTGCCCGATTGTAGAGCGATGCACAGAGATGTCGTGCACTATATTTCCAAACGGTACTTTCCTCCGATATCCTCATCGTCCGTAAATAATTGCACGAACCATGAAAGAAGTTTGAAACACGTAAGGATCCTAAGATTCTTCGCACGAACGCGACGTATATCATCCGCGAGAGTTGTATTAAACGAAAAAGACATACAAATAAAGCGTGTCGCGGCTTGTATCGAGTTCGGGTATCTCGAAACGAATAACAAACATTTGGTCGGAAAAATCGTAGTTGCAAAGAAAGCGATCGTGTCGATCTATTGATCTACATTGAAATGCAGCTCATCGGCGAACGTAAAGGGAACACGGTGTTAGTTATGGCGCGGGTCATGCGATAGAACACAAACTTGGCAATCAGATGGGCGAGGAACTTAAATGAAGACGCCTCGATTACTAACGATACGGCTGGCAATATATCGATTGCCTCGTTACTCAACGGCATCTTAATACGTATCGCGTAACATATTCGTTAGTCTAAGCGGTTTAAGCTGAGCGTGAACATTGCGACTTGGATATCACGGGCTGGGCGATGATTGGTTCGATTCGAAGTCGGCGCGAGCTGCAGCTAAATCCCGGCATCAGGTTTAACGGAGTCAAATGCGAGTGCCCTATAATCAAAACGTTATAGGCGTGCACCGGGTGCTGATCACGTTATACAATCACCCCAACCAAAGGTACATATACTTCTACGACCTGCGGTTCCTCACACCGGTGTATATGCACCGAGCGCACAGCCCCTGTCCGCACTGGCGAACGTCGATGCGCTAATGTTCGTTTGCACCAATGTCCCGATTCGTGACACAGTTCAATTTTCAACGGATAAAAGAGAATTCACAGAACAGCTGACCGCGACGCCATATCCAAACGGATTGTGCGATTGATTGGCATTCCATGCGTCGTTGCATTGAAATCGATCCATTGAAAAGATCAAAGCAAGTCCGTGGGACTGGCACGTGATTCGCATTAATTACGCACCGAAAGAAGACACTGTCGGAATGACCGTCAAAGTCAAAATGTAAAAAAGGAAGGAGAGGATGAGAAAGGAGTCGTACATCGAAGAATGTATCGCTTATATCTTACTGATTCGACATGAAATTGATTAATTTCGTGCTATTAATAACTTACATACGTTCAATTAATAACTTAATTGAATAGACGTGATAACGCCAGGGGGTAAAACGGAAGCGTAATGAAAGGACTAGAATTCGGACACGCTGGTAAACAGAATATTCGTGGTCACGATCACATACTCGCGAGTGCTGGTGATTCCAGTATTGTTTGGCCATGGGTTTAATCGAGATTCCGGGTGGAGCCGAGTGGGCGTGGGCACGTTTCGCATCAGCAGGGGTATGCGTACAGAATACAGTAATTATGATTCTCGGACTCATCGCATTCAGAGGGAAATGAACTTGGCGTCCCGACACGCGACTTCATTAACGAATGGCCAAGCTGAATAGACCTAAACATTCAAGCTCCTCGACTCGAGATTCTCGGGTTCGCTTGGCCAGGGAAGGAAAGAAGGGGGTTAAGAGGCATGATTAATTGCGCGTCGCCTAATTACCAATTAGTCAGACGGCCGGTAACATTGTATGAAAGCACCGGTCCCGGCATTCTTCCCATTTCCTCCCCTTCAAGTTACTTCTATCTTAGATAGATAAAAGGTACTACTCGAATCGTTGAACGTTCTTCTACTTTATTTCACCGTGATGTTTTTGTACGTAGATACTTGCACGTTACCCGGAACTTCTTATCGTGGTAATAACCTTATTGATAAATTTAGAATTACCGCGCATCGACACAGATACTGGTTATTTTTTATAGAGAAAGTTGTAAGTTCTTATTGTAGTTACCTAGGCAGAGATCGAATCGAATACTCGAGTACGTCGTTGCCTTTCACGACCTTAATGCACGGTGCTGCTGATTTCCACGAGTGAGGGTCATCTTCATCGATTGCTACGACCCGTTGGCTACGTTGGTGCTATCGGTATCTATAATCTGGATGTTGTCACTGTTGCTGAAACTCGGCCTCCGCGGCATGGAAGTTGGCCGTTATCGACACCAACGCGTCGGTGGTCGTTGAAACTTACGGATCCATAATAATCTTTGCCACGATATCGAAATCACGTACCATCCGAGAACCTACGACCCACCGAT